CTTAAATTGCGTGTAATTTCTCTCTGTGTATATGCTTATATGTGTCCATATCTATAGACGCCCACACATGTAGGTATATTTATGTGGATAAGCAAGTGTATTTGTATGTGTAGACATGTGTACACACACATATGTGTACGCTTTTTCATAGAATCTCAAAATAATATATGAAGAGTGGATGAAGCCCCTGGAATACCACCATATCTCTCAAACATAGCTTTTAACTTCATTCTCACTGAAGGGAACTGTGGCATTTTTTGTTCCTTTCTCAAAAGCTACAATGAAATTGATCATTTACTTGACTGTTTCTCCAAAACTGATTGCAAACCAATTTTTTCAGAATACAAAAATCTTAAGAGTAGTTGTGATTTTGTTTTGACCAAATCGGTGTTGTTGGAATGGATCTCATTTCTGCTTAATGAGGCAGAACAATATCCAGTTTTGGATGAGACAGAGAAATTCAGACTGTTCTCAGTGAAACTAATTTTGATATTAATATTCTAGCACTGAGGGTTTTTCCCTCTTCAGATTAAAGAACGGGTAGTCTTGCAGTTAAGGAGCTGAACATAAGACATAGTTTCTCAGGTTCCATGCTCTGCAACTTGCTTTCTGTTTGACCTTTGATCAGTCACTTAATTTCCCTGTGATCTAATTTGCTACCTTTAAAAGGGGATATAATATTGACCTTTACCCATCTCTTGTGTTTCTCATTTAATTTGCTGACCGTCCAGGGAGAAGCCACCCTTTGGCATTACATGCTTTGGAGTCCCACAGGGATGTTTGTCCTGTGATGATAATAATAAAAAAAAAAAAAAAAAAAAAAAAAAGAAAAATAATAAGTGCTGATTATTTAAAATATTTTCACATTTACTACGGTCATTTTTTCTTTTAATCTTTAGTTTCTTCACTACTGCTGTGGGAATGTTTGGAACAAGACAGAGAGGAGATTGATCTACTGGCAAGGTGCACAAATGAAAACTTAGTTTAAGGGAGAAATACCATTACCAAATTGTTGTCCTTTCAAGAGTTTTAACTGTACCTAGGGAACTGGGAAACTGGAAGTTTAGGAGCCAGATGCTCCTTCTGCTGTCAACAGATTTTTTTTTTTTAAACAGCAAACAAAATAGTAAGTTTTTTCTTTCCAGCACTTAGTGCTAGAGTAAACAGACTTGGTTCATCACATTTACGCAGACACAGCATAGTTAGCCCTTTATTGAGCAAAACTCTGATCATCTGTAACTGAATTTTGATTTTAATGAAGTTGACCGGTTTCCCCATCACATAAGCAACTTGAATTTTGCTGTAGCCATCACACTGCATCTCCCATTCCAGCTCCTTGGTGAATGTAACACAGCTAGCAGACAATCCTAGCATATTTGAACAAAATGTCCTCAGTGATTTCTCCATTACAAAGCTGGATCAAGCGGAGGATTCAAAAGTTGGTGCTGGTCTTTTTTCTCTTCATGCCTTGCATTCCAGATCACGTTGGGTATAAGCACAAAGACATAAGAGGAAGTAAAAGCACGTGAATAAGAACAACTGGACATAGAATTGGAAGGAGGATCACTGCTGAACTCTGCTTGTAGCTTCAGTCGGCTTGAGATCCCCTTACAGAAAACCTCAGTCCGTGAAGCCAGTTCTTTATTCAACTCTTACCGCTTCCACCAAAATACTGTGGTACTCTACTGAAAATGTACTTTCAGTATGCTTACGCAAGTAAAATATGAGATCTACTGTATTTCAGTGGTCTAAAAGGTCTGTTATCCTGCCAAAGCTGTACTTCAGTAAGTCACTGAGTGGTAAATTCAGTAAGTGGTCAGGATGACCCAAATCCAAGAAAGATGCACTACATGTTAAGTCACAGCTGATCTCCAGACTTCAATTCCTCCAAATTCGTTTTTCCACATAAACTTTTCTGGATAATTGTGGTTGAATAATGAGCCTGGGACTGCCCGGGTCACTCTTGACACCTTATGGTTTAAGCAGAAGTTCGATCCAGGACTATAGTGAAATACTTTGTCATCTAGGACCCACATAGCACTGCATACCACACCAAATACCTCCTTTTCCTCCTTCACTCCCAAGATTCTTCTAGCCACAGGCATTGTGTGGTTTTAATCTTTGATCTCTTCAACACAGTGGCATCATTAATCAGTGGGGATCAGGCATATCCACTCCTATGTGGCACTCTGAAAGGGCGAAGGTATAATTTTCAGCCTGTCTTTGTTATAGCCCTGTTCTGCTTGGACAACACTCCCCTTGATTTGAGAGATGGTTTGATACCTTGGCTACCAGGCAGTGATTCTTAAGTTGCTTCTTGCACATTTCTGAAGTGCAGGTTATCAGCGTAAGCCCTGCTGTGGACATACTGGGGTTCTCAGAGTTTGTTTGCACTTCAGATATGGAAATTTTTCTGTTTACATTCCCATTCTCCTTTTTTTTCCTTTTGCACTCATGTTCAACAGCATCTTTCTTAGCAGAAACTTTAATTTTCAACATGTTTTATTGTTAATACACAATGCTGTTCTTCTGCCTTTATTTCTGTCTTTTTCAAACAGTTTATATTCTTCAAAAGTTGTGTTTCACTAAGTTCCTGAAATCCTTCTAACATTTGACTTGATATCTTCTACTGATATTTCTAACATGTCCTTTTTTTCACAATAGCAATAACACAGTAACAATAACACCTCCTTTTAGGATTTTAGCACTTTTCATCTAATTTCTCAACAGAAAAAAATGATACACTGTCTTCATTATAGTCTCAAGGCAACCCCCTAGAGTACCACTTTGCTACAGAAAAAGTCTAGGTTCTTACTCCTGTCCCGTTCTCTGTTGATTCCGAGTCACACAGAAGGCCTTCTCACCTGAGTTTGGTCGTGTATTCAGGTAAGGGTAGGTGGCATGCCTGGGGATATGCTGTAACGTCCATGTTTTGTTGTCACTTGTAACCTGTATGTTACATAGTTAGGACACCAGTCTAAGCTATTAGCAGGTTAATTGTCTGCCATTCCTCCTGATGTATCAAGAGATGCACTCAAATACTCACTCA